AAAGAATAGCCACTCGGGCAGAGTTCAATCAGACCAGAATAATCAGATGTTTGCTGCCAAACTTCAGTCAGAAACAGAAAGTCCAGGTTTTTAGAGAGAATTAAATCATTGAGCAGGAAGGACTTATTGTTAACAGAGCGGGTATTTAATAGAGCCATGCTGAGTGAGGGTGAGGAATCAGAAACTTCAGAAACAGCTGGAGTTAGAGGACGTAAATTAGCAGGGTTAGATCCACGGTGTTTATAAAAACCACTTACTGAGGGAACAGGAGGAGAAACCACAGAGGAATGAGGATAAACCGACCTTAAGCCTGGCGGGAATGCGGAAGTGGCGCTCAAGTCACCAAACAAAGGAAAATAAGTTAGAAGATCACGCCAATGTTTACTAGATAAACCACACTTTAAGAGAAGTCTTATTCTCACTTGGATTCCTGCTCGTTTACCTCTTTTCCTCCTACGTTTTCCCGGGACCGGATTAACATCGCTGGAGGCGCCCGGGTTGGAATCGTCGTTTGGCTCCGGGCCAGTGCTCTACTCAAACAAACAGAGAGGTACGTCCTCGGTGCATCTTGGGCGATCGTGAACGAACGGAAGGACAAAAGAGTCTGGTGATCATAGGATGGTAGCAGGAACACTACTGAAGAGGATCGCAGACAGAAGCAAGGTGGAAAGGAGGAGCTCAGTGGAGGAAAGTTTGAAAAAGTGCCCGGTGACTGCGACAGTAACTCATAGACATGCTGTACAGCTGTGCTAAACCCTGCTGCACGTTTCATATCCTAACATCCTTCTGCAGGATCATGGCACCACATTATTTTGGTATTAGAGGTCGGAGAAGTTCCAGCTTTCATCTGAGGTGGGACAAAGAGAATTAGGATGCAGCTGTATTAATAGACCAGATTTTTGTATATTATTAGCATTTAGATTACATATGGTTTAAGTTATTCACAGTTTATCCACCACCATGTAGCTGTAGCTTTTCTCCAGCTGCCTGTTTGGCTGACTGAATAAACACAGATCTGTTCTGGTACCTGACTGCTTCGTCACCGTGGCAGAGATGTTCGTGACTCTTGAGCTCATTTTCTCCTCCTAAGACCTGTTAAATCAACTTGTAGAGATTTTGTGTCACCAGAACATGACAGCAGCAGCACCCACAGAAGGTCAGACCTCCTCGTGTTTGTCACGTTCTCTCCTCCCAAACTGAAGCAGTTTCTGCGTCATCTCTGCAGGATGGTAGATTCCCTATCAGAGATGCTAATTGCTGCCATGTGCCTTGCCTTCACGCTACCCAAAACCGCAGCGCTGACACAGTCACCAATGACGTCTGCGCCCACAGCCGGCTTCTTGATCTGAGCCACTTAATCACGTGTTTGTGTGTTTAAGGAGGATTTGTCAGGTCAGCCACAGAAACAGCTTTTTCCTCGTTGGACAGATCTGCTCCTGGTTTAGTGTCACTCGGGTGTCTTTCGTTCATCTCACTCATCTTAAATCAGACAGCGCTGCTCACCGCTCATTTCATTAGTTATTTATTTTACTGTCATTCCACAGAGATGATCTCCGTCACTGGAGGAGCCATGTTCACATTTCATTTCTTACAAAATAAAAGCGTTTGACTGTGTAAGAGAAGACCTAGGCTACACAAACATCTATTATATGTGAAGAAATGATTTTATAGGACAAGATGTGCCCAGTGCTTCAATAAAATGTACAGGAGGACATCATATTAGTTAACAAAATACTGAATTTTAAGCCTGAACCAGAAGCTAACTTCATGCTCTGCCGATCCTTGGGATTTTGTGAGTTACAATGAACACAAACATAACAAAGAAAGGAACAAGATTTTTTATTTTTCTTCATGAATCAATGCTTAAGGATAACAGAACAAGGGGGTTGAGAAACCTGGAAGTTGAACAAGCACATGAAGAATGCAGGTTTTGATGTTTCTGTGCTCCATTGATAAGCCTGTGTTTATGATCATGGCAGTAACTTTTATCTCAAAGGCAGTGATCTTCATTCAGCTGGGAAATGGTGAGATTTGAGTTTAAGTATCTCGGGGTCTTGTTCACGAGTGAGGGTAGGAGGGATTGGGAGATCGACAGGCGGATTGTTTCACCTTGTGCAGTGATGCGGACGCTGAGCCGATCTGTCGTGGTGAAGAGGGAGCTGAGCCAGAAAGCCAGGCTCTCGATTTACCGGTCGATCTATGTCCCAATCCTCACCTAAGGTCATGAGCTTTGGGTAATGACCGAAAGACCCTGAAGGGGTCAGGAGGTTCAGCTTTTATTTTGAAGGAACCTTTGCGGTCAGGTGTAACTTGCAACAGATTTTATCCAGTTTGTCGAGGTTCTCTTGGCTGAAGAGTAAGTCCGGATGGCCTGTCCGAGACTTCTCTAGAAAGAACGAGATCATGGATACAAGCGGCCGAAATGAGTTTCCTCCGTAGGGTGGCCGGGCTCAGCCTTAGAGATGGGGTGAGGAGCTTCGGGAAGGACTCGGAGTAGAACCGCTGCTCCTCCAGATCGAAAGGAGTCAGTTGAGGTGGGTTGGGCATCTGGTCAGGATGCCTCCTGGACGCCTCCCTGGGGAGGTGTTTCGGGTCGACCCAGGACACGTTGGAGAGGTTACATCTCCAATCTGGCCAGGGAAAGCCTTGGGGTCCTGCCGGAGGAGCTGGTGGAGGTGGCCGGGGAGAGGACGGTCTGGAGATCCCTAGTTGGGATGCTGCCCCCGCGACCCGGACCCGGATAAGCGGAGGAAGACGACGACGACATGAAACGCAGTCTGTCGGTCTACGTACCCCCAGGGGAAGCCTCCGTTTAGATCCAGAATGTTGAGGTCCTCTTGGACCCTCCTTGGAACCGAATCCGGTAGAAAAGCAGCGGTGCCGACCAAACTAGTCTTGGAATGCTTCCAGGTCACGACAGGTTCATTGGTGTCAGCGAGACCCTGAAGGGGTCAGGAGGTTTGGCTTTTATTTTGAAGGAATCTTTGCGGTCAGGTGTAACTTGCAACAGATTTTATCCAGCTTGTCGAGGTTCTCTTGGTTGAAGAGCAAGTCCGGATGGCCTGTCCGAGACTTCTCTAGAATGATTTGAACTAAAGAAAAGGTGGCGTGGAATAGTTTTTATAACTGTCATATTTTGGTTTACTGGCGAATCAGAATTTGACATGCAAAAGAGGGTTTATTCAAACACCACAGAAAACCACGCCTCGCGTCGGAAACCAAGGTTCTGATTGGATCAGACAAAAGGAAATGTGTCGTGTAACTTTAGCATTATGTGTCATTAGTGTCTAGTGCAAATGTCCAGGATTATAATTACTTGTAAAATACTACTGATCACAGGATTATAATATCAAGTAATAACATTGTCATTTCACAAATTGATTGAGCATTGGGCTCACATTATTATTGGTAATAATAAAGTTGTTTGGTTATGTGTTTATGTAGAGAGTTCTTCGTCTTCGTCTTGATCTGTAAAAGGTGAAGCAGTTCAGATGAGCAGAGGGCATGAAAGACCTTGGCCAATATCTCATGTAGATTAGGCGTGTATCAGAGACTTTATGTCTCTGCTCGAGCAGATGCAGCAGATCATGACCTTTAGGTCAACAACAGGACATTCATAACGCAACACTTGTTTACATCAACAGATCGATAAAACAAAGGGAACAAATAAATAAAGGAAACAAAAAGAAAACCTGCATTTAGTGCTTATCAGTATCTACTGTAGGACACAAAACTAACATTTTACCTTTCAGTTTATTCGTTTTACTCAGAAAATCCTAAAAAGCAGACATTCAACATCAGCTGTTTTTGTTCTCCCTTCTGTTTTCCTCTTCACTTCCAAACATCTCTGCACTTCAGACTCAACAAACACAATCCTGTGAGGCACAACTTAAACTACAAAATATCAAAGGAATGAGACATTTTTACAAACTAAAAGAAAGCATAAATGAAACAATTAATAGAAAAGCTATTTTTGAAGTCTTTTAAAGCACAAATTATATCACTGAGATCAAATACTCAGTCCTCTGGCTGCAGCATTTTAAATTATTTGACATTTTTAAACAGCTTTTATTACTAAGGGCTAAAATGACTGCAATATTCCCTCCTGAATGTCACAAATGCATAAACCTTTTCACCCAAAAAGTGTTTAGTCGCTCAGTTAACAGTTTAACTAATTTGTTCATAATTCAACTTCATTTCATTTACTTAGCAGTCACTTCCCTTCCAAAGGAAAGGAACATGGTGGGCATTTTCCCCTGGATCTCTTTCTCACTGTTATTCCCTGAGGCTGAAACTCAATTCCAGTAATTATTTATATTTGTGCCATTAGATTCACATGCGCTTTTCTCTGTGAAGAAATCTGCTGATGGCACCTTTGCTGACTTGATTCATCACTGGTGGAGTTTCTTTGCTCAGCACCTTTTGTGGTGGTTTGTTGCTTTGTAAGGAGTGAATTAAATGCACCTGGAATATTTGGGTCCTGTCTGTGTGTTTACATGCATTCACAGTCACAAATGCAACCAAACTGCAAAATCTGGTTCTAGTTGAGTGAAGAGAATGACTCAGCAGAATGTCATGAAATCAGAGTGTTTTCTCTCGCAGCCATTTGTTTTGATGCCTTAAACTAGTTTTTTCATGAAATGTTTTTATTTACTTGAAATCTTAAAGCAAAGTCCTTAAGACATGGAAAACCTTGATTATCACCAACAACCAAGATGTGTGAGATACCATTTTTGCTTACTGGAAATAGTAATTTGATGTACTTCTATGACTGATTAACCTTTAGAGTGATAAACATTCAAGATGACCACCACAAACATGGCTATACGTTTGTGTTTTTTACAGCCTGGAGCAGAAATTTGACCTGGTCTGACAGGAAGCACAATTTTCAATATTTCATTACTGCAACTCCATCCTTTTGTTCAACTAAAAGCCTTACGATTTAAGAACTTGATTTAATATATAAGTGGATAATAAATGCACTTCTGTTTCTTTTGCAGGTGACATCACACAGAAGGGCTATGAGAAGAAGCGGTCTAAGCTGATTGGGGCCCATTTCCCTCAAACACCAGGTTAGACAGACTTTCCATTCACCTTTTTGTTGCTACTCAACTGTTTTAATTACTCTGCCCACGGGTCATGACCAATACTTTGTAGATGAATAAAGAAAATGAATAGTTTTCGTCAGGAGTTGGGTGGGGGGGATTTTATTGATGAATTTGAGTGTGTTTGACTTTGAATTCAGGTCAACTCCCAGAAGGAATGAAATATATTCTGTCATTTATGGTTTGTTTCAGAAAGGAAATGGAGAAAAAAAAGAATTCAAATAGAAATCGGATTTGGAACTTTAAAAAATCTGACTTTTTTTTTTTTAAAGCCGCGTTGCTCAGCCTTAATAGAACTAAATGCATGACTATCTACATTTTTAGAGTGTTTATTCACTTTTTTTTTTTTACCAGTCATATCTGGTCAGTAGTTTGGGAAAGCAAGGACAAAAATAGAAGTTGAATTTTGGAGCCAAAATTTTCTTCAGAATAAATCAATCAATCAATCAATCAAGATTTATCTACATGGCTCTTTCCACATCTGCAAAGGAGATCCAAAGCACCTTAAACAATCATAATACGACAATAAAACAATAAAAACAGTACAATAACATCATGGGTTGTTACCCTCAGCTCTGTATTTAAAGCCAGTGTGTAAAAATACATTTTCAGCTGACGCTTAAATAATTGCAGTGAGAAGGCCCCATCTCCACTTGCTTTACTCATGGTCTGAGGAACAGTGAGCTGTCATGAAATGGCCATTAGTAAAGTTTTTCTGAGCATCATGTTTCATCTAGCTTTGATGTTCACAGCGATCCAGTTCAGCGTTCACACTCCAGTAAACCTGTTACATGTTTACCTGCAGCAGCTTGCAACATTCTTACCAGAAGGCATTAAAAGGTTTTCCAACCAGTTCATTTAGATTCTTTGGATTTGTCTGCTAGTTTTCAGCCAGAGGAAGAAAATAACTTGCGTGTCAACAGCTGTTTTTGCGTCAGTGGCTGAGCGTTCCACAACAGGAAAACTCGAGCACTGAAGGTTAAACTGCAAGGAGCTTCTGAAGGAATCTTCTTTGTGCAGAGATGTTCAGAATGTTCTACAAGATGGAAGAAAATGATCTTTTATTTTCTAGTAGTTTAACCTTTTACTTTTCTTATGTTGATGCCTAAGTAATAAGTTCTTACTGAGCACCCCAAAAACTGATTAGTGAAAACATGCATGTACAGATTTTTTATTGACTTGATGAAAGAAACCTCATTTTGAAAATTGAACATTACATATATTTTATTTTGTAAAAGATAAACAGTTTTATAGCCAACAGATTTTAATACCATACCAGCAAAGTAGCATAAAGAAGTCACTTGCCATTTGCCATCCATCTGCACGTGGTAAAATAGCTCACCTTGTGAACTCAGGTTTTGGTAAATCTTCAGAAGAGAAAGTGAAACTCTGGAAAGTGAGTTTTTAAAAAATAAATAATTTATTTACAATTTTTTTTTATAAATTTAGCTAAGTGATTCTTTGGGTCCAGAACAGAGGTCCACGTAATGAACTCCAACTTTGTAGTGTAACTCAAGAAGCTCAAGCATGAACTGACCTCTTGAATACGACAGAAGGGATGTGTAAATAGTGGCTAAAACTTATAAAGGATATAGAATGGAATAGACTTCACTGATCAGAGTGTGAGGAAATTTATTCGTTAAGGCGGCGCATACACTTGAGAGAAGGGGTCCCAACCTTTTTTGGCCCGTGAGCTGCTTTTACACAAAGTACAGAAAAGCTGCTGCCATACGATTTATTCACATTGGTACTTTCCATGTGTGAATATGCTTACTGTGTTAAAAATGCTATGTTTACACATGCATTTTATTCACAAGTTGATTTCTCTGTATTTTAATACACCAATTAGGGCTGGGCGATATGGCAAAAATAGAATATCACGATATTTCCAATATTTTATCACGATTTCGATTTTATCACGATTTTTTATCCATGAATAGCATAACTTCAATTGTGTATTAAAGAAGAGAAACATTGAATAAATAAACATTTATTCATATTAGGGATAATCAGCACAGTGCTAACACACTTATATTTTAAACTCACACCAGAGATGATAAAAGTCCTGAGAGAAACAATTACAAAAATCAGTTTTTCTCGTTTTTCAAGTAACTTAACATAAATTAAAATCGTAAACATATTTAAAGTGCAAACATGTCAATTGCAAACGTATTGTGCAAACATTAACTTGTTCAAAATACTATGTAGCTCCCAGTTGCTCATGTAGTGGATAGTTAAGCTCAAATACGGCTCTGATGTGCGGCTGGACCAGAGATCGCTTGTGGTAGCAAATAACTGCGCATTCTGAATATTTTCTGCAACTCTCACTTTGCATTCAGCGTACATGCGTGGAATAGCTGTGTTCGAAAAATACTTGCGGCTGGAAAACTCGTAGCGCAGATCCATTGTTTTTATCATTTTCTTAAATCCCACTCCTACTGTTCGCACGGGACACAAATCTTTAACCAAGTGGTACGTCACTGCATCTGTCACGCTGTTCCATCGTCTGCTGTCTCTGTCGTAAGGAGTGAGTTTTGTGAGTGTTTCTGTTAGCGTTTGCTGCCTGGAAGAAGCACTAGCCGCTGCCGCTGCAGCCGCAGGCTTTTTAGCTTTAGCTGCCAGCTGGCTCTCATTGTATTGTTTGGGATGCCTTCTTTTCAATTGATTAAACAAGTTTGTGGTGTTGCCATCACTTGCCTTGACGCTCTCCTTGCAAATGACGTTTCACTGCTCTTTGTCATCTGGTGAAAAACCAAACCAGTTCCATATAACGGACGAGACGTTCCTCTTCGGAACGAAAACCTCATTGTCGCTCTCAGCCATGGCCGATGCCATGTTTGTTCACACACAGGTGAAAACAAGTGGGGCACTAATATATTACTATGACTCACTCTGATTGGTTAAGGGTCAAACAAAGGCGTGTCATTCGCCTGAGGTAAGTTCCCTTTTCATTCAGAGGCAGAAATTCTGAACTTGATTAAAAGAAAGACGACCAGTAAACCAAACTTTGGTATTACCATTCAGCCACTTGTCTGATGTGTGGCTGCAGCTGTCACACCCATCATACACCAAATATTGATCTAGTTTCCTCCTGTTCTTCTGGCTGTTACCGTAAAGTCCCGAAAGGATACAATTGGAATTTACAAGAACTAATGAGTCTTACTGTTCAGAGACAATCCTCTCTCTGGAATGAAGCAAAACGTGTACAGCCCTCCCCTCCCCCTTTTGCTTGTTTGTGTTTATATAAAACTGCGCTCCTTCAGTCATTCCTCATTAGTCAGCTATCAAGATGGAACTCATGCGAGGGCTTCACCTCGAACGGGAGCGATTCTGTTGCTCGTTGTGCTCTGACTTGTTTAATAATCCTGTGACGATACCTTGTGGACACTTCTTTTGCATGAAATGCATCAAGAAGCACTTGGATGATGAGCAAGAACGTGGGATCTACAGCTGCCCTGATTGCAGGGAGATCTTTATGCAGCGACCTCGGCTGGTCAAAAGTGACGTGGTGGAACATATTGTGGAACAGCTGAGGATGACTGCTGCTCCACCTGATGCTCTTGTTAAAAAATGCAATGCTGGAAGTGAAGATGTAGCCTGTGATTTCTGCACTGAGAAAAAACTCAAAGCTGTAAAATCCTGTCTGCAATGTTTGGCTTCGTATTGTGAGGAACACCTTCAGCATCATAAGGACGTGCCCGCCCTCAGGAAACACAGGTTGGTGGAAGCAACAGCAAATCTTGTGGAGAGTATCTGCTTTCAACATCACGAAGTCATGAAGCTGTTCTGCCAGACTGATCAGTGCTGCATCTGTAATGTCTGCTTAGAGGATGGACACAGAGGCCATAAAAAAGTCTCCACAGAAGCAGAAAGAGCCGAGAAGGACAGAGAGCTTCAGGTGGCTCGGCAAAACATCCAGCTGAGAATCCAGGAGAAAGATAAAGATGTGATGGCTTTTAAACAGGAAGAGGACGAGATTTGTCAGTCAGCTGACAGTGCACTGATCACCACCGAGAAGGCTTTCACAGAGCTCATTTATATGATTGAGAAAAAGCTCTCGCATGTAAAAGAAGGCATCCTGTCAAGGCAGAACGCCGATGTGGGTCGGTATAAAAATGTTCGGGATAAGCTGGAGGATGAGATTGCCAAGTTGACTAGAAAAGATACCGAGCTGGACAAGCTTTCCCGTACAGAGAACCACACTCACTTTCTATTGCATTATCACTCATTGGCTCATCTGGATGATTATAAATACCAACCCATTTACAAGCTTCGCCGTCAACGTAACTTTGACAGAGTTTCAGTGGTTGTGTCGGAAGCCAGAAATAGGCTGGAGGCGGTCCTTAATGAAGAAGTGTCTAAGATTCTGTTTGCAATATCCGGGACCAATGGTGTCCCACCAGTTCCTCAAGCCGAGCCAGAGGCTGTTGCCTCTCCTGTCCAGACCACAGCTGAGTTTGTAAAAGGCAGAATCCTCCAAAACAGAACAAGCCCCACGTCTCCTAGATCTGAACTTTCACAGAACAAAGAGAATTTCATTCAATTCAATGGGGATCATGTCGATTCTAACCCTTTTCCATCCAGAGGCACCCCCAAAGTTACCAAAAAGAACTTTTTACTAGCCAAGCCTTACCCTGAGAGTAATGGCCATGACTTCCTACCGATCAAAACCAGCCCCAAATCAAACTTTTCAAAGCCTCCTGAAAAGGCTCTCAGACAGGACTCTTCCTCAACCAGTGCTTCGCTCCGCTTTACCAAACATAAAATGTCACGGGCCAAAGCTGACGTCTTTGAAAGCCAAGGTGACATTAAAAAAAAAGTGGATTTGATGGGGACCAATCAAATAATTAGAAGTGTGTCTCGGTGTAGTCTGAACAATGCTGATTTTATGCGACTCACACCTGAAATTCTACTGGACAGAGTGTCGACCAGAGACAAACTTATACTGAATAGATCTGACTTCTTACGTGTTGCTAAACAGATCACGTTAGATCCAAACACTGCCAACCCGCATCTGCTAATAACAATGGAGAACAGAGAAGTACACTACATGACGGATGAACTGCCGTATTCTAACCACCCAGAAAGGTTTGCATATTCCTGGCAAGTCCTGAGTAAGCAGAATCTGACCGACCGATGTTACCTGGAAGTGGAGGGAAGTGGAAGAGGAGCTATGGTGGCACTCGCTTACAAGGACATCAGCAGAACTGGAACCTTCAATGAATGCACATTTGGGCAAAATGACAAGTCCTGGGCCTTAGATTGTTTCGAAAACAGTTTTGAATTTAGACATAACAAGATCAAGACTCGCATCCCAGGCACATGGTCCAGCAGAGTAGGAGTTTACCTGGATTACAAAGAAGGTCTTCTGTCCTTCTACAGTGTCTCTGAAACCATGACTCTTCTCCATGAAGTCAAGGCTAAATTCACTCAGCCGCTCCATGTTGGATTCTGGCTCTCTGATGGAGCATCAGCCAAAGTGTGCAAGTTCAGTTAGGCTGCTGTTTCTCAGTGATATAAATGCAAGTATGTTTTCTCTAAAATGATGTAAATACAGATAGAGGTCTAAATGTCTAAACAACAGGTTTTGTACATAGCTTGTTTACAGGAAACTCTTATTTTCCTGCAATTGTAATTTTACTTTAAATCTATGTACATTTTAATACAACATTCATAGATTGGACTAAAATTAGACAAGCTTTTCTCTGTTTAATTTAGATATTTTTGATTAAAAAAGATATGTTTTAGAGAATTTGTGTTACCTTTTGAATTTTAATAAGACAACAATGAAGGCGACTGCCGTATTCTAACCACCCAGAAAGGTTTGCATATTCCTGGCAAGTCCTGAGTAAGCAGAATCTGACCGACCGATGGATCAGACCGACGGTGTTTTTAGGCGTGTTTGAGTTTTTTTTCGGCCGGTGTTCAGTCACTTCTCTGATCACCTGCTGCTGATGAGAGGATTTCTCCTGTCAGTGTGGAAGGAACAGGTGAGCTGCAGCCAACACACCTTAGTTCCACTAGAAACACTTTCTAGGACCAGATGATTGTAGTGAGCTGTAATTTATCATTTTATAATCATAGTAAGTTGATACATGCACTAGATAAAATAAGCCAGAATATTTTCTCCCACAGCTCAGCTCTGTTAGAAATATGCAGATGTCTGCTTAAGCTGGACAACATCAAATATAAAAGTGTTCACAGATTACTGATATTTTAATGAAAAAGGAATATTAATCAGTTTTATTTTTAATATTGATTTTATTTCATTTCTAAGGTTTGAATTTCTGTGAACATAACAGAAAATTCTGATTGGTGTAAAGAACACATGATATTATTATTAATAGGTCTGGATCTAAAGTGGGGCTGAGGTATAAAACTCTGCCCTGGCCCTGAAGCCCTGCATATAGATTTAGTTTCTATAAACACCAACAACAAATAAATAACAGCAGCTGTATTCTACTTTGTTCCTTAAATTGTGTCGCGTAGTTTTACGAGTTCTGTACACTCACATGTTTATCAGCAGCTCTGCCAGCTGATTAGTTTTTAGTAACTAGTGACATCAGTGCAGTTCTGGTACTGAGCAGCATGGATGTGTCAGTGCATTTCACTGTAGTCAATGTTCAAAACAGATTAAAGACAGGACAGGATATACAATCAATCAAATATCATATTCTAATTCTATGAACATGTATAGATACTTTATTATGCTTACCAGCCTGCATCTCAATTTTTTTTCCTCAAAATGCACCAAACTGATGCTTTTATATATAAACTGTCTAAAATATTCTTCCAGGGGGACATGCCCCCAGACCCCCCTACAGTAGTTTAATACTTAGCATTTTTTCACCTCTGATCTTTTTCATGTCTGCTCTTTGGTGCTGGTGCACCCTTTGTGGTGGAATAAGTACTGGAAGATATTTCAAACACCATTAAAAATGACAGTTAAAAAGATAAGGCTCAGGAAGGTGGTGTGTGTGTGGGGGGGGAGGGATTCGGGGGTTTGCGGAGGGGGCGCCTATTAGTCTGCATACCCCTCCAAAAATAGGCAGCTGCATCCCTGGTCAGATGAAACCAAACTAGAACCTACTGGCTGTCATTCTGCACACAATGTTTTGAGAATATTTTAAGTATCTGCTGATACAGAACCTTGGTCTGATACTTCAGCAGTGAATTAAAGTAAGAATAATAGCAACACACATCCACATTGTCCTTTTAAGTTATTTCAAAAGTGTTTTCTTTTCTGTATTTGTGTTATTTCCTTTATCTGCTAAAAGCCTTACTCATTCAGCAAGTGCATTAATAAAGAAACATGCTAATAGTAATTAAGTGTATCCTTGTCACTCATATTTCTATTTCATTAACTTCCTAAATATGTGGCAGTATTAACCCTCCCACTGTCCTAATGGGTGTGACCCCCGCGAGGAAAGTTGACCATTGAGCAGGATTGATGGTTTATCCCTTGAGGTCCACGTGGCAGGGGTGAGGTGGTGCTCACTCCTCACCCCTGCCACGTGGACCCAAGGGATAAACTATATACCCTGCTCAATGGTCAACTTTCCTCATGGGGTCACACCCATTAGGACAGTGGGAGGGTTAAGCGAGTCACTTAAGTAGTGATAAGAAGACAATTAAACGACTCGAGGACACGTCGAAAAAGTGTTTGACTGAAGGAGCTGAAGTTTCAACAGAAAAACACACCAAGATAAATAAAATAAAGTCTAAACTACAAGTGGAATGTTACCACTTGTTTGAAGCCACCCTCCCTGTCCATCACAAATAACTAGTTCACCCCCTAATTCTTTCTGTGATGACGCAAACATAGATAAGCCAAGAGGCAACTAAAAAGGCATTTTAACTATCCTGCTAGACCGAGTCAAAGGAAGAATCCCAACAATCTCCATCACCTCTTACCTGCTTCGGTTCCATAATCCTGTAAACAAGATAATAAAGTTGCATTGTTCTCTGTAGGTGTACTCAAGATCTTTTTACATCCTTTATTTAGTCCCAATAAAGGACTTGTGTGTCTTATTTTATATAAAAAAAACTTGATCTACATAACTGGAGTGGCACACCGTTAGTCAATTAGAAACAATGGGAAAACATTCTTATATCTTCTTACTAGCTTTGAAAAAAATTCCCATCATACACCAGTGACTTGTCAAAATGTTCATGTTCTTGGGGTTTCTCCCTAAAGTCCGGAAAGGATAAAATTAGACTTTACAAGAACTAAGAAGAGCCTTCCTGTTCAGAGCTGTTCCTCATTCTGGAATGAAGCAAAACTTGTAAAGCCCTCCCACTCTTGCCTTATATTTTCAGATGAAACCAAGCGTCTTCAGTCATTTCTCATCACTCAGCTATCAGGTCACTGCTCCAGACAACATGGCTGAAGGGATTCACCTCGAACGGGAGAGATTCTGCTGCTCGTTGTGCTCTGATTTGTTTAATAATCCGGTGACTGTACCTTGCGGACACTGCTTTTGCATGAGCTGCATCAAGAAGCACCTGGATAATGAGCAAGCAGTTGGGATCTACAGCTGCCCTCGGTGCAGGGAGAACTCTATGCAAAGGCCTCAACTGGTCAAAAATGACATGATAGCACATATTGTGGAGCAGATGAGGAAACCGAGGCAGACTTCAGAGACACCTTCATGCTATCCTGGAAGTGAAGATGTAGCCTGTGATTTCTGCACTGAGAAAAAACTCAAAGCTGTAAAATCCTGTCTGCAATGTTTGGCTTCGTATTGTGAGGAACACCTTCAGCATCATAAGGACGTGCCCGCCCTCAGGAAACACAGGTTGGTGGAAGCAACAGCAAATCTTGTGGAGAGTATCTGCTTTCAACATCACGAAGTCATGAAGCTGTTCTGCCAGACTGATCAGTGCTGCATCTGTAATGTCTGCTCAGAGGATGGACACAGAGGCCATAAAAAAGTCTCCACAGAAGCAGAAAGAGCCGAGAAGGACAGAGAGCTTCAGGTGGCTCGGCAAAACATCCAGCTGAGAATCCAGGAGAAAGATAAAGATGTGATGGCTTTTAAACAGGAAGAGGACGAGATTTGTCAGTCAGCTGACAGTGCACTGATCACCACCGAGAAGGCTTTCACAGAGCTCATTTATATGATTGAGAAAAAGCTCTCGCATGTAAAAGAAGGCATCCTGTCAAGGCAGAACGCCGATGTGGGTCGGTATAAAAATGTTCGGGATAAGCTGGAGGATGAGATTGCCAAGTTGACTAGAAAAGATACCGAGCTGGACAAGCTTTCCCGTACAGAGAACCACACTCACTTTCTATTGCATTATCACTCATTGGCTCATCTGGATGATTATAAATACCAACCCATTTACAAGCTTCGCCGTCAACGTAACTTTGACAGAGTTTCAGTGGTTGTGTCGGAAGCCAGAAATAGGCTGGAGGCGGTCCTTAATGAAGAAGTGTCTAAGATTCTGTTTGCAATATCCGGGACCAATGGTGTCCCACCAGTTCCTCAAGCCGAGCCAGAGGCTGTTGCCTCTCCTGTCCAGACCACAGCTGAGTTTGTAAAAGGCAGAATCCTCCAAAACAGAACAAGCCCCACGTCTCCTAGATCTGAACTTTCACAGAACAAAGAGAATTTCATTCAATTCAATGGGGATCATGTCGATTCTAACCCTTTTCCATCCAGAGGCACCCCCAAAGTTAGCAAAAGGAACTTTTTACTAGCCAAGCCTTACCCTGAGAGTAATGGCCATGACTTCCTACCGATCAAAACCAGCCCCAAATCAAACTTTTCAAAGCCTCCTGAAAAGGCTCTCAGACAGGACTCTTCCTCAACCAGTGCTTCGCTCCGCTTTACCAAACATAAAATGTCACGGGCCAAAGCTGACGTCTTTGAAAGCCAAGGTGACATAAAAAAAAAAGTGGATTTGATGGGGACCAATCAAATAATTAGAAGTTTGTCTCGGTGTAGTCTGAACAATGCTGATTTTATGCGACTCACACCTGAAATTCTACTGGACAGAGTGTCGACCAGAGACAAACTTATACTGAATAGATCTGACTTCTTACGTGTTGCTAAACAGATCACGTTAGATCCAAACACTGCCAACCCGCATCTGCTAATAACAATGGAGAACAGAGAAGTACACTACATGACGGATGAACTGCCGTATTCTAACCACCCAGAAAGGTTTGCATATTCCTGGCAAGTCCTGAGTAAGCAGAATCTGACCGACCGATGTTACCTGGAAGTGGAGGGAAGTGGAAGAGGAGTTATGGTGGCACTCGCTTACAAGGACATCAGCAGAACTGGAACCTTCAATGAATGCACATTTGGGCAAAATGACAAGTCCTGGGCCTTAGATTGTTTCGAAAACAGTTTTGAATTTAGACATAACAAGATCAAAACTCGCATCCCAGGCACATGGTCCAGCAGAGTAGGAGTTTACTTGGATTACAAAGAAGGTCTTCTGTCCTTCTACAGTGTCTCTGAAACCATGACTCTTCTCCATGAAGTCAAGGCTAAATTCACTCAGCCGCTCCATGTTGGATTCTGGCTCTCTGATGGAGCATCAGCCAAAGTGTGCAAGTTCAGTTAGGCTGCTGTTTCTCTTTGATTGTTCAGAAAAATAAAAACCTTAAACAGGTGATTGAAAATGCAAATATGTAACTGAAATATTTTTATGTAAATACTGATAAAGGTCTAAACATCTACACTTTGTGAACATTGCAGATTTTTTTAGAGAACCTTGTTAGAGAGAACTCTGTTCAACCTAATATTTTATCTCTTCAAATTCATCAGTAGAAATTTCATATTTCAAATTTTCACATTTCTTTCTGCATGTTTAAATTCTCTATAAAACAAGTGTAGACAATTTCTTTATTGCTGATGTAACTTTTTTTAAACCAAAGACTACTGAAATCACCTGTAATAAATGTATTGTTGGTGGTAAAAATTTGTTTCGTGTTAGACTTATTAGCATCATTATTATTGTAAATATTATTATTTTTAGTGGTAGTTGCAGTGTTTTATTTTGAAGTCTTTTTAAACTTTATAACCTTTCTTTTTAGCATGAAATTAAAACACAGTTTTAATTAAAAGCCGTGTGTCATGGTTTTACTTAATTCAGGAAAATTACCTGGCAGAGGTTTGTTTTTGCATTTGAAGTGTAGATATGTGCAATACTGTTTGTTCTTATTTTTTCATTCATTTTATTCGTAATAAAAGTAAATGAAGAAAATTTGTTTTCTTCCTGAAAAATTAAACTGTTTAATTACACTGATTTGTAGTTTACTGCTGTGCATAAAATTAATGCAGGTCTAGATATGTAACAGGAACAAATAACATGATGGTGTATATATTTAACATTTTTATGAAATACTGACGTAAATGTAAAAAAAATAACTGCTTTTATCTGTGTAAACATAAATAAATAAGCTGTAATTTCTGTGGAAAATGTTAAAGTACTTTATTCTGTCTGATGGAATCATTTTGTGTTTATTTGATCGTAGAAAACAAGTGGCTCCTGTTGCATAAATGTTGTTTTATAAACTCTTCCACTGCAGCTCAAACCTGTTCAACCTGTTAAACTATGAATCATTACTCGTACCTAAAAGGCAAAAAGAGCAAAGAAAACAAACTTAATGGTATGAGAAATATCCAGGTTACTGAAGCTCATCATGTAGTATACTTTACTTAGCAGCGTAGACACTCAGCATATCATTCTAGATTTATTTTCTAAATAATGAGAATTTTTTAGTGAGTTTGGATTTTGGAGGTCTTCTTTGTTAGCTGTGATGAGCTGAAGCCACAATCTAATAAGCCGAGGTAGAAAGACACATCAGAGGATTGAACCACCACAGCTTTATTTTGGTGTTTCTGACAGCTGCAGCTAATGTAGATGTAAAACCGCAACACAAAGAAACAAAAACACAACACTCTAAACGTTCCAAGTGTTTAAACACAAGCTGTTTTTATATTTTTAAGGATTTTTTGAAGCTCCTGTTTAGGAATAGTGTTTTCTAAAGGTTTTATTCTAACGTATAACTGATGTTATTAGTGATCGGTGTCGGCTGTCGGCTTTTTCCACCACTAAATGCCATCACCTGTTTAATGAGCTGCTTGTCATTCCATGCTGTTGTCATCACTTGTCTCATAAATCATGTGGGTTCTTGGGTTTTTTGTCTTCGCGTAACATCCAGATGAGATCAACCACTTGCTGACACATTTCAGCCTTTTAAAACATTACACTCATAAACACACAGATCTTCTCTTGTTAACTACAAGCCTGTTGTTTAGTGTAAACTTTTGTGATCAATTATTCAGGCCTTTAGCTTTTCTTTTTGTCTTTGATCTGAGAACAACGACCAACCTTGAATTATGCAGCTTCAACCACAGCCTCACAACCACAGAGGCCGTTTTTCGTGTTAGCTGAGAAAAAAAAGCTAAAATAAAATCTTTCAGTATCGACTACCTTATTATATTTTTTACGTTACAACTTTATACTCTTAAGTGGATTAGTTTAATACATATATATAACAAAATGTTTATTTTAGTTCATATGAAACATTTGTCCCTTTGATAACAAAAATATTAATAGTTGCAATAAAATCACAGAACCTTTCATAATGGATCTTCTTTACCGTGTCTGTTCATCCTTTTACGTCTTTTACTTCCTTGTGTTTCCTGGCATTTGCCTTCATAAGTATGATAAAAATTTGTTTAGGAAATTCACCTGTAAAAGAGTCACGTGGACTAATGATCTAATGCAGCGACCTGCCCTAAGTCTTTAGTCATGTTTGCTAAAAATAGTAAAACAAACCTTCATGTCTGGTGTGCAAAAATTTGAGATCATAAATTAGACCAAACCCAGACAGTGTCCGGGTGGGGGGGGGGGGGGGGGGGGGTCTTAGGTTGTTGAGGACAGATTAACATGAAACTATAAAAATTCTTGAGTGTTTTAAAAAATATATAACATAAATAGAGTGTCTATAATGATTGTGCAACTTAAAAATTATATTATACAGTCAGGTCCATAAATATTGGGACATTGACACAGTGCTAACCTTTTTAGCTCTATACACCACCACAATGGATATCAAATGAAACGAACAGGATGTGCTTTAACTGCTGACTGTCAGCTTTTATTTGAGAGTATTTACATCCAGATCAGGTGAACGGTGTAGGAATTACAACAGCCAGCCCTTCTGGAATACACCTCATGATTGCACAACACTATAATGGAGCAGGCGGAGGGAGACTAGGGGTCTTAGCACACCTCTGTTGTTGCTTGGTTTCCTGGGGCTGGAGGCTAGGAGGGAGATCTGGCCGTCTGGTTGGGGTCTGGGGTGGTGGGTTGCTGTGCTCAGCGTTGGGCGGGGGAGCCTGCTCATCAGCACCCCAGCAGAAAGGGTCGAACTCTGGTAACCGGTGATGGTTGTACCCCATGTGCAGCAGTACCGGGACCAGAGTGAATAGGGTGTGTATGGAGAGCATGAGTGGGTGTCCGGCATGCATTTTTGTAAGTCTTTGGTTGTATGTGCATGTGTGAGCACGAGGGAGGGAGTGTGTGACTGTGTTTGTGTATGACTGTATATGTCAGGTGGGGCCTTTGACTCCTCCCCTCTCCTGGGACTTCTTTTGATGATATAGATCTTCGTCTCCCCTCCCCCTGCCACACCTGGTGTGGAGTGTGGTGCCTTGGTCTGCCTGAGTGTCTGAGTGTCAGGAGGTTTAAGATCTTTGGCGTCTGCCTGATCAATCCCGGTGGCTGCCTGGTGGGGTCTGGGTCCCTGGACTCTGCTGGGTCCCCGACGGGGGTGGTCGCCCCTGGGTCCCGGGTCGCTGGGTCCCGGGCTCGGCCGGCTAGGGGGTGGGAGGCTGCGGGCGGGCCTGTGGGCTTGCCGACGATATCTCCCGAGACTCTGCCGGCTGCTGGTTGTGGCCCCCCGGGGCGATCCTCTGTGCCTCTCGAGGGGGGCGGGGGCCTTTCTGGTTGCAGTCTCCTTGGGGTTCCTGTGTTCTGGGGCAGCGCCTGGATCTCTGGGACTTGGAGCTCCCCCCGTCTCCTACACATCTTTGGGGGGCGGATCTGTGGTCCCTCACATTCTCTATTGGACGCTCCTATAGAGAAACCTTACATAAACAAGCGCGTGTACACACACAGGTGCTCACATGGCGCTCTCAAAAGTATAGACTTGGGCACGTTAAACACAGGTCTTAAGGCTGTCGTTGCCACTAAATGCACTGTGATTTATTATCGTGTGATTGTTCAGTTAAACAATGTTGATTTTATATTTCATCATCAGGTTGACGCAGTGATAGCTTGCTCCTGATGTATTGTTGTGTGTCCCAATTTTTTCTGCTCTTTCTCTTTCTGCAGGTCTAGAAGCAGACTCTTGTTCATTATTGTTTATTTTTGTGGAAAGATCAAACTTATACATTTCAAGAGTTGGTTGCAAATTCTTTGCAGTCAATTACAACCTGAAGTCTGGAACACATAAACATCACCAGATGTTGGGTTTCATCCCTGGTGATGCTCTGCCAGGCCTCTATTGCACCAGTCTTCAGTTCCTGCTTGTTCCCGGGGCATTTTCCCTTCATTTTTGTCTTCAGCAAGTGAAATACATGCTCAATCGGATTCAGGTCAGGTGATTGACTTAGCCATTGCAAAACAGTCCTCTTCTTTCCCTTCAAAAACTCTTTGGTTGCTTTTGCAGTATGTTTTGGGTCATTGTTCATCTGCTCTGTGAAGCGCCGTCCAATGAGTTCTGAGGCATTTGGCTGAATATGAGCAGATAATATTGCCCAAAACACTTCAGAATTCATCGTGCTGCTTTTGTCAGCAGTCACATCATCAATAAATACAAGAGAACCAGTTCCACTGGCAGCCATACATGCCCACGCCATGACACTTCCAGCACCATGCTTCACTGATGAGGTGGTATGCTTAGGATCATGAGCAGTTCCTTTCCGTCTCCATACTCTTCTCTTCCCATCACTCTGGTACAAGTTGATCTTGGTCTCATCTGTCCATAGGATGTTGTTACAGAACGGTGAAAGCTTTGTTTAGATGTTGTTTGGCAAACTATAATCTGGCCTTCCTGTTTTTGGGGCTCACCAGTGGTTTACATCTTCTGGTGAACCCTCTGTATTCACACTGGTAGAGTCTTCTCTTGATTGTTGACTTTGACACAGATACACCTACCTCCTGGAGAGTGTTCTTGATGTGGCCAACTGTTGTGAAGGGTGTTTTCTTCACCAGGGAAAGGATTCTTCGGTCATCTACCACAGTTGTTTTCCGTGGTCTTCCGGGTCATTTGGTGTTGCTGAGCTCACCGGTGCGTTCCTTCTTTTTGAGAATGTTCCAAACTGTTGTTTTGGCCACGCCTAATTTTTTTGCTGTCTCTCTGATAGGTTTCTTTTGTTTTTTAAGTCTGATGATGGCTTGCTTCACTGATAGTGGCAGCTCTTTGGATCTCATCTTGACGGTTGACAGCAACCGATTCCAAATGCAAATAGCACATCTGCTCATTGTAATTGGGATAATGAGGGAATAACACACACCTGGCCATGGAACAGCTGAGAAGCCAATTGTACCATTACTTTTGGTCCCTTAACAAGTGGGAGGCACATATGCAAACTGTTGTAATTCCTACACTGTTCTCCTGATTTGGATGTAATAACCTCAAATAAAAGCTGACAGTCTGCAGTTAAAGCACATCTTGTTCGTTTCATTTGATTCCATTGTGGTGGTGTATAGAGTCAAAAATGTTAGCATTGTGTCGATGTCCCAATATTTATGGACCTGACTGTATGATGGCATTTTCTTTTCCTGGTAATCATCTGGTATCTTCGGTTCATAACATTCTTAAAGGCATTTTACGGATTTTCAAATTAAGGACATTCAAATCTTCATTTCTTCATTAAACCAATAATTCTGGGCTCTACTTAACTCTCAAATCTTCAGATATGATGTGGATTTTACTTGAAGTCACATAAAAAATATCATACGTAAGATCAAGTGTTACGATGAGCTAAACAAGGAGTCTGTTGAGTTAGGAGAAGAGCAGATATGCAGAGGGAAGGGGAAATCCATCCATCTCCCCAGACTCCCCAGAGGAAACCTGAAGGCGAGGTGTTTCCCAGACTTGTCATTTATTCCTCTGCTGCCTGGTAGTCATTAAACGGTTGGATAATCAACTTTTAGCTTGTTTCCTGAGCACCAACGGCACGCTGAGAGCTTCAAATGAAGACAGATGAGGTTAAATGTGTGAAGTATAGATAGAAGGTCATAAATCAGCAGCTGTAGAGGAGTTGTAGCTGTCAGTAACAGTGTGGTTATTATCATCAGCTATTGATTGGTGTGTGTGTGTGTGTGTGTGTGTGTGTGTGTGTGTGTGTGTGTGTGTGTGTGTGTGTGTGTGTGTGTGTGTGTGTGTGTGTGTGTGTGTGTGTGTGTGTGTGTGTGTGTGTGTTAATTGTTTATGTGTCTCTTCTGTATCTCACCTCAGATCTTAACTTATAAAGTAGACTTGTAGCTTATCTGATTTTAGATTCAGAAAAAACCACCTGCAGGACTTTTATGTATCTTCTATTTTAGGAATTACTTAGCAGTCATTACCAAAACAAACTGAGTTTCCAGCTGTGAGATTTCCTGGATGCTTTGCATTCCTGCAAGGTTTCTGGTTGGTCTAAAAAAGTTTTTGTGTTGTGCTGCTTCTTTGGTTTCAGTAATGAATCATTGCTAATGTCTCACTCAATAAAATCAAAACCTTGTTATTGTGAGATAGCAGATGGGATTTTAGTCTGTGTGTGTGTGTGTGTGTGTGTGTGTGTGTGTGTGTGTGTGTGTGTGTGTGCGCGCGCGCAGTATTAATTGTGACAAGAATTTTTTATTTAATTTTAGTCTTCTGATTTAGTCATCTTAATTGTTTTAATTTTACTCTTATTTTAGTCAACTAAAATACACTATACATCTTCTGATGCAATAATTTTCAAGAAGTAAATAAATATGAAAAATTCACATTTTACACTTTGGATCAAGGAAACTCTACATTTACAACTGTTTTAATAACAGTAAACAATGGAAAATACCAAATGACAGTCGTTTGATAATTGCAAATTGTGCCTCTTAGTATTAATAAAATTAAAAAAAATCTGTATAATGTGCAGTAATATTTGTAAGCATGACAAGAAATGACAGTACCATCAAAACATTATAAAGTGTTACTCTAATATTGCGAGGAGGTAAGCTAAAGGTGAGATTTGTTTCCAGATGTATTCATTAGTTTTACCTGCACTGATTTACTAAGGTGGACTGCCTGAGCGTTTTTCCTCAAAGGAACTCCGCTAGAACACTGAACGCTGATCATATTGGCCATAGCAACGGCATGAAAAGGAAAACGATTAAACAACCAGAGGCTTCATGAGTTTGGTTCGGCAACAGCTGAGCTCTAGCAGCAGTTAACTACTCCTGACTTTGCCTGTATTCGTTCACTGCCACATCGTAACACTTTTAAAACCTGGGGGAATCCCGGATGTGTACTCGCCAAGCTAATACTGTTCAGATAATTAAATTCATATTTAATTAGTTTCCTCTCAGCCGCGGACGTTTTCTCCTTTTAGACATAAACCAGCATAAACATCAATAAATGATGTCTGGTTACCGGTAGCTTTTTCAAACAGCGGCTGTTCTTTTCTTGTCTAGTCCCGCCTGTTCAATTAGGTATTTGTTTCTTTTTTCTGGTCTCCAGTCTTTTTTGTTTTTTAATTGGATTTTCGTTTTAGTCCATTTTCATTGTCATCTTTCATTTGTCAACAAAAATGTTGATTAATATTTATCATAATTTAGTGTATTGGCATGTATTTTTTTTTGTTTTCATTTTGTTTGTCCCTGGGAGCCACGTAATGCAAAAAACTCACTCACTCACTCACTCACTCACTCACTCACAGAGACAAACAACCAATGTATTTGGTCTTTGAGAGGAAACTGAAGTCCCCAGAGAAAACCCACAAATTCTGGGGAGAACATGCTGACTCCATCCAACTGGGATTTGAACCTGCAAACTTCGCTCCACCGTGTAACCCATATCTTCATATAGTTGTTTTAATTGTAGAAGCCAATTAAAAACAGCATAACCTATCGGGACACAGATTTGACTTTGAGTCAGTGTCACAAATATTAAGCTCACGATTTAGAATAGAATAGAATAGAATATACTTTATTGATCACAAAGTGTGAAAATTCACATGTTACATCAGCAGAAACACTTAAGAGAATAATTTGAACAAAATAATAACAAAGGTACGTGTATGTGCACAAAGGCAGTGAGCTATTGCTGTAGCCAACAACCACTAAAAATCACGAGTTTAAAATGAAAGCCTTGGGTTGTAGAACTATGCAGCATACTGTAAGGGACACAAACATACTATGTGAATCTGGTATTGCACAAGTATTGAACACATTCTGAGAATTCCATTGATGTTATTGTGTAACAGGATAATGCCAGTACAACTTAAATTGAGGCATTATACACTCTTACTGCAGAAGAGAAGAAACATACAGTAGCATTCTGTTTTACATCTGGGATGTCTCAGTCTGTCTCTGAAGGAGCTGTCCATGGTCTCCACAGTGGAACGCAGTGGGTGGGAGGTTTTTTTAAGATGGAGGTCATCTTCCCCAGCATCCTCCTTTCTCACGTCTCCTCAACTGAATCCACTGGGCAGCTCAGAACCGAGCTAGCTTTGTGAACTAGCTTGTTCAGTCTCTTCCTGTCTTGGTCAGAGCTGCCTTCACCCCAACAGACCACAGCAGGGTGGAGAGCAGAGTCAACAACAGAGTGATGAAAAGATTTTAGCAGATGGGAAGGACTTAATTCTCCTCAGGAGGTGGATGTGGCTTTGGACCTTCTTATACAGAGTATCTGTGTTGTTGGACCAGTTCAGTTTGCTGTTGAGGTGAATATCCAGGTACTTAAAGGTATCCTCCTTTAAAGATGGTGCAGCATGAGCTGCAGCCAGTTAACGCTGCTCATCCTCACCCATTCACTTTCAGTGGTGAGCCCGGACATAGACCCACTGCAATTTGTATATGCCATACCATTATTTATTTATATAGCACATTTAAAGCGCACCATGGGAGCTGCCCAAAGTGCTGCACAGGCTGGACCAAAACACGACCAATCAAAGCAAAACACCGATCAAAAGCAGATAAATCATGTGGAATACCAAGAACACATTAAAACAATAACACAATAAAACACTAAAACGAGTCACTGTCTAAAAGCCACGTCGTAGAAGTGGGTCTTTAAACGAGATTTAAAAAATGCCAATGATGGAGCCTGTTGGACTATAATGGGTAATGAGTTCCACAGCTTTGGGGCAGCATGTACAAATGCTCGTTCACCCCGTGATTAGTATCGCATCGGGGGCGTGCAAAGCAGCAGGAGGTCAGCCGACCTCAACGTGTGCATGGGCACATAGGGAGTGAGCAGTTAAGAGAGATAGGGAGGTGCCAGGTTGTTGAGTGCTTTAAAGACAAAAGTCAATAACTTAAACTGTACTTGGAAAATTATTATATAAACCAAACATGGGAATGGAGGACTCCCTCATCTACCTGCAGCACTGGGCTCTGTCTCACCTTGAGATGCAAAACAGCACTTTTTCTCAAGTGCCTTCAACACCATCCAACCGTGTCTACAACAGCAGAAGATGAGGGGTGCAGGAGTGGATGAACATCTGACTACCTCATCGACAGGCCTTAATGTGTTAGTCGCTGAGAGTCATTCACAAAACATGCTTAGAGTACTAACTGGGCGAGATAAAATCTGGAGATAATTTACTATAACCATCATTTAGTGAGCTAGTGTTAATACCATTGTTTTATTCTTCACTCATTTGTTACATCATCAGATATGATTTTTAATCTCTTTTTCCAGGAATGGATCCAAACAGTCAGGAGAGGAGAACACCAGTCACCCCCTCCTCCTCGTCCCGTTATAATCGCCGACGCTCGTCTGGCTCCAGAGATGAACGTTACAGATCAGGTAACACCTCACCTGTAGGACTGACAGCTATAAAGCAATGTCTGTTTAAATGTAAACTATGTCTAATTATTCTCTCCTTTACTTCTCCTAATGATAAGATTGGTGCAAATTTTACCTGCATCAACCCAAAACATGAAGATTGTGTATTCATGTAAAAATAAGAAGTTATGTTTTTGATATTTCAGGGTTTATCTATAACTTTTTTAACTTTATTAACAAATTTCTTCAGAGGCTTTTCCACAAGCTGCCCAGTGCTTGGAATCATATAACAGTAAAATAGGGCTGTAGCGAAGCCTCGACGACGTCAACGGCTCGATTCTAAAAATTTGTCGACGTCAGATCCGGTAGTCAACGCACCGCGCCCACTTGTTGCATCCCCAGGAGTTTGTAAATAGAGGAGGAATCTGCCTGTTTTCCTCTAGTTCGCCCTCTTCTCCACCTTCACTAACATCTCCGCCAAATACCGAAGACCCGGAACAACGTCCGTCCACTACTAGATTATTTTCCTGTGTTGCCCGCCTTCGTCTCCCGGCAACGGACAACAACTTCCGGGGTCAGATGCGCTGCTTCGTCTCTACCGCAGATGTAGAACATCACCGGGAGCGTTTCTCCCTTCATTAAGGAGCTTCTTTCAGACATTAGGAGAGCTGTTTTGGTGGTAGCAGTCTCTCCTCCGTGCTGGTCTGTTTGCTGCTGGGTGTTTTTGTTTTATTTAAACTTGGTAACTTGAACTTAATGTTGGTAAAGCTACTGTTAGCGTCTTCGCTAACAGCTTCTTGCGTTTGGATAAGCTGTTACGTTTTGGTTTAGAGTTCATCTTTTTTGTGGTGCAGATCTCCCTTTTATTACATTTAGAGTGTTGCGGGTTTTTGGTTTAGTTGAAAATATCACCTTGAGTTTGGTTTAACCACCCAGTTTAGAGTTTGGACTTTTGGAGATCCTTTTTTTTGGTCCAGAACCCAGTAATCTTTGCCCAGTGGGACATCCCTACTTATTTGTACTTTGTTTTAATTCCCCACAGGCAGAATTAGTTTTATTATTCCCAACCTGTGGATGGAAAGATTTATGATTTTTTGTAGTTGTAAATAAACCTGATCATCATTTTAACTTTTAAATCCCGTGTTATTGTCCCTTCCTTTTTGCACACGAGCCAAACTCCCCAGGACGAGTCGTAAGACCACTCGCCTCACGCTCATAAGTGACCTAAACAAAGCAGCATGGAGACACTCCATCTTCTACCACCTCTCAGGCAGCAGCCTGCAGTCCCAAGTTCTACACGTCACCAGAACATAACCAACCGCAACACAATAAAAGCAGTGTTATACAAAATGGAAGGCCTGTAGTGTTTATTCTCTTACAGTAACAATTTATAAATTTTTTTGAGGAATTTATTTGAGATTTTCTGGTTTTTGTTAATTGTGCAATAGAAAAATAATCATTAGATAAATTTTCTAAATAGTCATTAGAATAGTCGACTATTCGATAAAATAATCGTCAGAATAATTGTTTTAAAAATAATCGTTTACCCCCAGCCCTACAGTAAAAGTACTTCAGAATCCCTGTAAGACCTACTAAATGTTAGGTCCCGAGAACAAATCTAAACCTCATGAGACTCGTTTAGTCCGGCCTGTAAACTTTGAGTGCTGCATTTTTTCTGTTGGTGACGCTGGAGCATCTGTGCCACAACAGGGTGATTTCAGCACCAGACCCTCCTAGTTCTGTGCTATTTTCTCTGCAGCTGATTTATTGTTTGTAACAGACCCTCAAAACTGACTTATTTCCTTTTCCCCACAAGACCTAGGGTTTGTAAAGGTGGTTGTTTACTCATGAGTTACTCTCAGTAACTTTTACAGACCCTTCAGGCTCCAGCCAGAAAACTCACAGCAGCAAATGAATGTTGTTGAACTGATCTGATCTGAGTGATTAAAACACCTTTCTGTGGCATAAAGCTTAAATAATCAATGGCTATGTGGTCCATGTATCAGTCTCACTCAGCTCTGCAGCCCTTTCTTGTTATTCTTGTCTTTCCATACATAAATTATTTATTCTTTTGTAGATAAATACTTAAAAAGGAATTCACTGATTGACCACCAGCTTTAAATCTGTGTTGACATTTACCGGTACTGGACATTCAGATTATTTTATGTATTTCTACAGTTTTTCAGATCAGGTTTGAGCAAATCAGCTGTTTGTGGCTTTGACCTGGAGAAAAAAATGTCTGTTTTTTTTTCTAAATTGACCACACATTCAACAAAATAAGTGTTTCTGTGTTTTCCCTGCTGATTGTTGAGGATTAGTGGAGATTTTGACTAAATGTATCCAGGAGGAGGTTATTTTAGACGTTTGAACTCTTGCTCATGTGGGAAATCAGACATTTTTAGTGACTGTGGAGTGTAATTTCATTTGACGGGGAAATTTTTTTTAAAGGTGCAGTATGTACGAATATAGAAAATTCTACAGTGAGAAAATCCCAAAAGTGTCTAATGTTTCAGTCATTTAGGAAGGAAGGTCATACTGAAACTTATTTCACATCCAGCTGGCTGCGGGGATTGTCAGTTTTTCTCATTTCTAAACAAAGGAAGGAGGGAAATAACTGTTTACCAGCAGTAATGTGTGTGTGTGTGTGTTGTGGTGGTGGTGGGGGCATCTCCTGCGAGCTGATACTGCAGCACCGACTATTGTAATTTGATGACCACTGGCAAAAAGCTCTAGTTGTTTAAAGTGGTTGTAGTAACCAAATTTTACCGCAGGATGTCATTTTTACTTCATTTCTACATAATGCACCTTTAATCCACCAAGTGGGGAATGGATGTCATACAGCGGGATTTATGAGGTTTTTCATCTCATTGGGACCCTCCTGGTTAAATAAAGATTAAACAATTAATGAATGAATACAGGAAGCTTGTTAACAACAGACGCCCACTTTTACAATTTGCAGTTAAACTCAGCCACAGGACAGTAAAAGTTCACTTGAGATTAAAATTACCTCATTTCCTCTATATGATCACACACACACACACACACACTAGGGTTGTCACGGTAACCGGTGTAGCGGTAAACCCCGGTAAAAAACTTGACAATAATAATAACCGTCTTGTTTTTTTAAAAAACTATATTATCTCGGTGGATTACCGTGGCTGCGGTGTAGGCACGGTGACCTTTACCAGCCACCGTATCATCTGCTGAAGTTGCCGGTGTTGTGCCAAAGTAGTTACCCCCGTCATAAATTGTTTCCCCTCGGTTTACACTTTGTTTTTGTTGACGTTGCTTTCACGAAATAGTTTATTTGCAAAATAAGTCACAGTATAACTAATAACTACAGAAACTTTGGAGAACATTAAATGTTAAATTAAGAAGTCTAAAAAAAGAAAATGTTCTCCAAAGTTTCTGTAGTTATTAGTTATTCTGTGACTTATTTTGCAAATAAACTATTTTGTGATAGCAACGCCAATGTGCATTATTGATGGGGGGGGCACACATTTTGGCAGCCGAGGCCACACAGCCTGATAAAATCTGTATCCCTCCTTAACTTTTGCTGTGAAGAAACACTCTGCAACATTACTGTAGTTATTGGTTATACTGTGATTGATTTTGCAAATAAACTATTTTGGGATAGCAACGCCAAAAAAAACAAAGTGTAAACCGAGTGTAAATTAACCGGAGAGCGACGTGTTTCCATGATCACGTCTGGTTTTACAGTATTACAGGGAGTGCAGAATTATTAGGCAAGTTGTATTTTTGAGGAATAGTTTTATTATTGAACAACAACCATGTTCTCAGTGAACCCAAAAAACTCATTAATATCAAAGCTGAATGTTCTTGGAAGTAGTTTTTATTTTGTTTTTAGTTTTAGCTATTTTAGGGGGATATCTGTGTGTGCAGGTGACTTTTACTGTGCATCATTACTAGGTAACTTAACAAAAAACAAATATATACCCATTTCAATTATTTATTTTTTACCAGTGAAACCAATATAACATCTCCACATTCCCAAATATACATTTCTGACATTCAAAAACAATACAAAAACAAATCAGTGACCAATATAGCCACCTTTCTTTGCAAGGACACTCAAAAGCCTGTCATCCATGGATTCTGTCAGTGTTTTGATCTGTTCACCATCAACATTGCGTGCAGCAGCAACCACAGCCTCCCAGACACTGTTCAGAGAGGTGTATTGTTTTCCCTCCTTGTAAATCTCACATTTGATGATCGACCACAGGTTCTCAATGGGGTTCAGATCAGGTGAACAAGGAGGCCATGTCATTAGTTTTTCTTCTTTTATACCCTTTCTTGCCAGCCACGCTGTGGAGGACTTGGACGCGTGTGATGGAGCATTGTCCTGCATGAAAATCATGTTTTTCTCGAAAGATGCAGACTTCTTCCTGTACCACTGCTTGAAGAAGGTGTCTTCCAGAAACTGGCAGTAGGACTGGGAGTTGAGCTTGACTCCATCCTCAACCCGAAAAGGCCCCACAAGCTCATCTTTGATGATACCAGCCCAAACCAGTACTCCACCTCCACCTTGCTGGCGTCTGAGTGGGACTGGAGCTCTCTGCCCTTTACCAATCCAGCCACGGGCCCATCCATCTGGCCCATCAAGACTCACTCTTTCATCAGTCCATAAAACCTTAGAAAAATCAGTCTTGAGATATTTCTTGGCCCAGTCTTGACGTTTCAGCTTGTGTGTCTTGTTCAGTGGTGGTCGTCTTTCAGCCTTTCTTACCTTGGCCATGTCTCTGAGTATTGCACACCTTGTGCTTTTGGGCACTCCAGTGATGTTGCAGCTCTGAAATATGGCCAAACTGGTGGCAAGTGGCATCTTGGCAGCTGCATGCTTGACTTTTCTCCGTTCATGGGCAGTTATTTTGCACCTTGGTTTGTCCACACGCTTCTTGCGACCTTGTCGACTATTTTGAATGAAACGCTTGATTGTTCGATGATCACGCTTCAGAAGCTTTGCAATTTTAAGACTGCTGCATCCCTCTGCAAGATATCTCACTATTTTTGACCATTCTGAGCCTGTCAAGTCCTTCTTTTGACCCATTTTGCCAAAGGAAAGGAAGTTGCCTAATAATTATGCACACCTGATATAGGGTCTTGATGTCATTAGACCACACCCCTTCTCATTACAGAGATGCACATCACCTAATATGCTTAATTGGTAGCAGGCTTTCGAGCCTATACAGCTTGGAGTAAGACAACATGCATGAAGAGGATGATGTGGACAAAATACTCATTTGCCTAATAATTCTGCACTCCCTGTATAGTATCGCTCCCGTGAATTGGGAAACAATTTTTGACGGGGTAACTACTTTGGCACAACACCAGCGGCACATGCACACTTTGATGTTTACAACCAAAACTTTCTTGAAGCTAAAGCTGAAATAATGGCCAAAGGAGGAGACGGCAGCACACAGGACATTTATTATCCCTCAAAGAAGACAAAGTCGGAAGTGTGGGCATTTTTTGGATATTTGAAGAATGCCGAGGGACAGTTTATAGACGACGGCTATCCTGTTTGCAGCACGTGCAGAAAAAGTGTCTGTGAAAGGCAGCAACGCTTCAAATCTCATGACACTTCTGCGTGACCATCACCCACAACTCTACAGTCAACGCAAGGCACGTTAGCGTTTTAGCTCAAATGCGTGATCCGAGGATTTGGGTTGAGGGAGAACGCAACGAGTCGCTATATAAAGCAGCCGCAGCGCCGCTACCTGCATATAAACCGTGTCGCGGACACCGCCAAATTGAAATGACGCTATGCATTACGGGGCTCCCAGGGGCAGATAAGAGTTGGTCTCTCTCCGAGAATAATTATGAATTTAACAATGATTACTGCCTGATGACATTTTCCCACATCTGCAAAGCTCACTGGAAGAACACAAACCGAGGACAATATTTTCCTGATATAAGGTTTATTACTCAAGTAAGGGTAAAAAAGTATCTGATTAGAAGGCTACTTGAGTACTGAGTATCATCTGATCTAATATTTTTTAAATGATGACATCAAACAGACAAAAAATAAGAAGTTATGGGCAAACATTGCTATTTTAAAGACTAAAGGGGAAAATGTAAACAAATAAACAACATAATTACAAAATAACAAATTGTAGGTAAATTTTAGACACAAACTGAGGACAATATTTTCCTGATATACAGGGTTTATTTAGGTACCTGAAAATTTAACATGTTTAAAAAAAATACCGCGATAATACCGAAAACTGTGATAATTTTGGTCACAATAACCGTGAGGTTAAATTTTCACACCGTGACAACCCTAACATACACCTACAGACACTTGCACACATACAACTAAACACCCTCGTCGATGCTCCCAGAACTTCATCCAGTTGGAAACCACCAAGCCTCATGGGAGCTGCTGTCATCTAGGACATGTTTGTGTTCCTAAAGTGGAGCTGAGTAAATGGCAACATGGTGCTCGGTGTAAGAAAACACCATGACATAAAGACTAGCTGATGCTTTCTTTTGAATTGACTGAGTCAGATTTGCTTGTTGGTGATAATTTTAACATTTTTAAATGTAAACAGGTTGTGGTCTCTGGTCTCAGGGTGTTGGCACACTTCCTGTCTGATGTCAGAAACAGCAGGAAAAACCTGGATGTTCTCACGTTCGATACAAAAATTGCTTGTGCTTTGGAGAACAAATATAAAATGATGTAATCAAATACATAAATATGTTTTTAGTAATGACTGTAAATGTTACCACAAGTTTGTATATGTTTTTATATACTTATTTGCATTATTAGTTATTTGAATATTACTGTTTGTAAATGGCCTGTATTTGATATAGCGCCTTCTTGAGTCTTGGAACCCCCAAGGTGCTTTACAACACAATCAGTCATTCACTCATTCACACACTAGTGGGGGTGAGCTACGATGGGGCGCACTGATAGAGGCAAGGCTGCCATACACAGGCTCCACCGGTCCTTCCGAACACCACCAGCAGGCAAGAGGGGTTAATTGTCTTGCCCAAGGACACAACAACAGAGACAAACTGAGCGTGGCTCGAACCTGCAACCTCCCGACTACGAGTCGAGCACTTAACTCCTGTGCCACTGTTGCCCATACCGTTAATTATTGTTGTACCAACAGGTTCAGTGACACTTTGGTAATCGCCCAGAGGAACTTGCCTACAGCTCTCCGTTACTAAACTATAATTAACAACTGAACAAAGTTAAAAACATCCACTAAACCACAATAATAAAATAACATTACGCTAAGAGTTATACCCTGTGTGTGTGTGTCCAGATGTGCACACCGAGGCGGTGCAGGCTGCTTTGGCGAAACACAAAGAAAGGAAAATGGCGGTACCGATGCCATCAAAGCGGCGGTCACTGGTGGTCCAGACCTCCATGGATGCCTACACGCCACCAGGTAAGAAACTGAAAGCCAGCGATGCATTTGGTTAAAGATGGCTGGGAGCAGAAAAATAAATATGGTGTAGATGCTATGTCCTGTTTTCTAGTGCATTTACACAGGTTGTTAAACACCTATTTTACCTACAGGAGTTTAACCTTAACTAATAACTATTTATTCACCACAAACCTCCAGCTAATTAATGCAGAAAATATTGAAACAAAAAAAATAAAAACTTCCAATAAAACGTTGTTTATTTGATTCTTGTTGATAATGAAAATACCAGCAGGTGGCCATGGACCGAATTTTAAAATAAGGCATTTTTCTAGTAACAATACTATAGAGTTATAGGTGTTTAAAGTAAGAGTTTATCCTAGTCAAAATTCAGTTTAGCTGTTGTGTTTATCTGGAACATTAATTTTCACTAAGACCAACAGACTGGATCAGAACCACAGAACCAGTCTGCCTAATAAATGTTTAAACAGCCAGAGAGCCTAGCTGATGATTAGCTATGACTAGCCAGCTAACTCCACTAAAACCTGTCCTGTGGGACTTTTTAACTTACTTTATGCTTCTTTGTGAGAAATCTCCTGATGTCCCGGTATGTGGAGGGATCAGACACGGAAACAACTGATCGTGGGATAGGGACTTCTCCAGCTCCGTCAAGTCTACACTGAAGTTTCACTTTGTTTCAGTCTTTTTTTTTTCTTTTTACTTTATTGAAAACCCCGGCCATCCATGTGTGCGCCAGAGCAGAGCAACCAGGAAAACATGGCATGGATTTCAGCAGACTGAGTAATTTCTAATGAGTCAAGTGGAAGGGAATTCTTTAGCTGTTTTTCCAGGAACACTACTCAGATCAACTCGGCCCGATGCAGCTCAGCCTGACTACTTTTCCCAAGTGCACGGTTCGGTATTTTCCCTCTACTTACTCCTCTGTTTTAGTCCCAGCTCCGTTGAGGTACCTGGCAAGGCTGAGTCGGGCCGGCATTGTGATTCTGGCCGCTGATTGGCTAGGGGGCGGAGTCACTGGTTGTTTTGTTGTTTTTTGCTTTCTGTTTCACTGCCTGCAGCCATTTCCTGGTTCAGAGTCTACTACACTTAGACTACACTCAGATGGGCTGACTCAAACCATGCTGTACAGGGCTGTTTTAGGCTGAGTAGTGCTCCTGGAAAAAAAGCCTTACGATAATGCTCGAAAGAGGGTGGACCAAATGTGTGGGGGACCGAATGCGTCATATCCTCTTCTGGCATAATGGTTCTGACGCCTATGACTAGAACTGATTCTGGGTCCAAACCGTTTTGGTTTTTGTTTTATTGAATGTTTTTTACACCTCAAGGTTGTTTTACTTTAGTGTTTAGTGTTTCAGGGTAAAAAGTAAAATATTTTATTTTAAATCTGTGGGAAAGTAATGGTAGAAAACACTTTAGTACACAGAAGAGCTGCATCGACATGTGGGAAATAACTGTAATTTAATGCACTTACCAAAGTGTTTTACTCGCTTCGCTTCTTTTGACCCCTTTTTATTTCTGCTGCATCTCAAAGCAAATATTTTTCCTTTACTGCTTCTGACTGCTTTAAGGGCAAATGATGAGTTTTGCAAATAAAACATGAAAATTAACGTTGGTTTGGAAAACAACTTTATATAGGTCAAACAATTAAAACGTCAAACCTTTGGGTGAGTAGGCACTTATTTAGAATTTATAGCATTTTAAGAACCAAACAGTTTTTTCTAAGGCAATTGTTATTAGTTTTTAAAATGAGCACCATCATAATTCAATTAGCCAAAACATTATGTCAAACTGTAAAAATGGATACAATATTTGTAACCTCTGATATGAAATTTGTTGTCTCACTTTCATGCCACATTTTAGTCTGTTAGCAGCACACATGCACGGGGTAACACACATTCACATAGCATCCAGAAGTGTGCAGAACTCCTGCTGCAGAGTTAGAAAGTGTCCAGAAACACCCTCTCATACATTCACCTATAACAGATTCGTCTTATGAAGTGTTTTTTTTTTATCCTGACAGTTTAGGAAGCCGCATTTCTTAGATGTTTTATGCATAATGAAACACGTTTCTGGAAATACGTAATTCTCTTTTTTCTATATATGTTTAAAGATATCCAGGGTTGCCCAGCACATCCTAGTCTTGTTTTCTCAGCATGTTTTTGTTTTGTCACGGAGCCTCGATGGGTTCCTGCTGACAGTGAGTTTCCTATCAGGCACATCAGCCAAGCACCATGGGAGTTAACATGTAGAGACCATGTCCCATCCCATGATAGTTAAAGATGCAAATGTCAGCCGTGTGACACACATAAAGGTCACTCACTTTTCTCTTCACAGAGGTAAGAAAACAAAACAGATTGTTGTGCTTCGGTGTTATAAATATAAAACTATTCTCCTTCAGCTTTCACAATAAAAGCTTAAAACAAACTCCTGATTTAGAGCAACGACATCATTGGTGGACTTGGCCTGGAAAAAAAACACACACACAGGGTGGGCGTGTGTTTGTGCGCGTGTGTGCACGTCCATGTGTGTTTGTGAGTGTTTGTATGTGTGAGAACCAGGTCACCATCGTCAGTCTCATAATGCCAGGGGCAAAATGGAAATCACTTGCAAAATACGAGCTCTCAAACACATTCTGTTCCACTTCCTGCCCTGAGACCAGGAAATAGACTGACTTAAACAAGCACCAGGAAGTGATTGTGCCCATCTATAGATATAGTTTATTTTATAAAAATCATGTAGTATTAAAAAAAACTCATTAGTGTTTCCTCTCAGACACCTCCTCTGGCTCGGACGGCGAGGGTCAGGGAGAAGGCGATGAGGAAGTAGGTGGAGACGGTGAGGAGGAGGATGGTGGAGGTGGTGAAGGAACGCCATCCAGCCGGGAGGGAAGCATCACAATGGAGCACTGGATCAGCCAGGCGATCCACGGAACCTCCTCAACCACCACTACCACCTCGTCCACGGCCTCCTCTTCCTCCTCCTCCACCCGCAGCGGGGGCAGCGGGGCAGCAGGAGGCAGACTGGCTGATGTTCTGGCTCAGCACGTCCACATTTCCTCCCAGCATCACCTCCGCCACCACCATCATCATCACCACCGCCACAAGACAGGTAATCGCCTTCTAGCAGCACATGCTGCCTTTACGGCAAGCAGTTATGGCATAAAATGATTACTGTGGCAGGCCATTTGTGTGTTTTTCTGTTTTGAGTTAGAAGAGAGTGAGAAAATTTACTGACGCTCACATTAAATGAAAAAGACAGAAGTGTGGGTGTGCTGTTCCACCTCATTATAGAAACAAAGATTTTAATAATCTACAACATTTATGTTTGTAGTATTTGCAACATGTACTTTTTTCTATTTTATTGTTTCTTAAATATGAACAACTCCAGAAAAAACAGGAGCTGTCTGAGACATTAGTCTAGTTCAGCCACCCTAACTAAGGTAGAACCATTGACCAACCTCTAAGGCCCAGAATTCAAACTGGACAGTTAAATAAAAAAGTAGCTCTCAGTAACTAAGTCTTATGCATTATAAAACAAGGAGAGGGGGCTAATAGATCTGTAAAACTTCCTGGGGCCTCATTTATCAAGCTTGCTTACTCACAAAACGGGGTCGGAAAACTGCGTAAGCAACTTTCCACGCAAACTTTGGGATTTTTGAAAGAAAACTTAGTGGAAAATGTGCGCAACTTTAAGTTGACTAAGGATCTTGCTTACGCACATTTTGGACATGGAGAGCACCTGCAGTGCTGCTGCTGAGAAGGATACAATTATGAAATCTTGCAGCATTATCACTTGTACTGCTTCGTACACATAGAACAATCCCCCCACATGCGCACACACACACACGCGCGCGCACACACACACACACACGCACACAGCCTGGAGTGCAGAATACAGAATGCTGAATATCAGCAGGGGGACAGATTGAGACAAAGTCATGTGTCTGTGACAGTGTGTGTCCTGTCACTGTGACCCGATTGATCATACGCCCTGGCTACTTGGACAAGGGAGATCTCCGTTTGACTGACTGGATAGCGTGCCTGACTTTCATCTGGGAGTCTGGGGATCGAATCGTGATCGGACCTTTTTTTTTGTATCTGCCACAGATCTCTCTCATTGACAGCTTCAGCAACGCTGTGCCACTCTGTGGATTTTCTCTTATTTGTTTTGCAAAAGCACTTCCTTTCATTTCCCCACCTCACCCACAAGTACCTGAATTTCTGCTTGTGAAATTGCACTTCCTTGATCTGCCTTGATCTACGGTCGCCATCGTCATGGGCGGAGCGCTGCAACAAGCCAGCTTATGTATATGCATGAGATCCACAAGGCACTTTGCATCGACTATTTATGGCAGTAAGTGGGCGTGGTGAGGGTGGAATGTGACAAAAAAGCAGTTGAGAACCTTTCTAGATAGTTTCTGATTTATGAAGCAGAGATTGCGTGCAGCTGTGCGTACTCCATGTTTGATAGATCACAAACCTGCTTGGCGTGAGTACATTTTTTTTGCTGAGCTTAAGTACGGTCTTAGTAAGGATTCTACGCAATGTTTGATAAATGAGACCCCTGGACTTTTAACAACATTTTAGCTTGCATTAACCATTTTTTAACCAAACCACTGAGTTTAGAAGGCCTGAGAAACTATCTTCACCCTCAGGAATTTTATTTATCATATCAACTTTGTGTAAAATTGAAGCAATGGATCAAATACCTCCTGAATTTTACATGGAAGTGTTTGAAAATGTGTCCTGAAAATTGTTTAAAACAGAATTGTTTAAAACAGAAATGCAGTGTTTCTCCAGTAAGAAAGCAGCTCCAAACGTTGAAACTCCCATCGGAGTAGTTTCTTTCTCTCCTTCTTTCAGCTCTTAAACTACAGAACTGAAGCATGGTCCACTTGAAGTATTCACTGTTTTGTGCTCGACTTGCCTCCAGACACCAGGAAGGTCCCTGAATCCCAGATTGGGAAGAACAAGGCCGGCTGAGCTTCAAAGCTTGTCTGAACCAGTGAGAATACACAGCAGCCATCTTTGAGGTTATTCTTAGTTGTTTCTAATAAAAGTGTGAATCGGTCTACTCAAAGTAGCAGGGTGGGCTCGCTGTTCAGTCTTTGAAGTTTATTAGTGTGAATCGGACTGTAAAGTGTGATTAGATGGAGTGCTGTATCCTGGTGGTGAGTTTGTAAACGAAACAGCGTCTCTGCCTCCTGTTTGAACTTTAACCAGAGCTGGTGGCAATTTCACTTTTATTATCATGTCATCCAGCTTCATTTGGGTGTTTTAGGTTTTCTCTTTAAATCCGTTAAGTTTAAGTAACGCAGATGAAATGATGTAAAATGATGGAAGCTGAGAGCAATCAGACTCTGCTGCCCCCGAGTCAGCAGTAGGAGGTGTTTATTATGTTTTTACTAAGAAGTTTCACAAGGCCACCATGTTTTTATTAGTTTACCCTTGTTATCACAACAGATAGTCCTGCCCTAGGTTGTACTACAGTGTTGTCCAGGGTGGATGCGGCTTTAAATCACAATCTCGTTTCTCTTTCCACCTTAAATCAAATCAGTAATGCAGGGTTTTTCCTGGCTCAGATTGTAGCAGAGGTGGTACCGTCCTGACCATGCGCCAGCATACTCTGTGCATTCAACTGCCTCACTTTTTTACAGGAAAAATAAATGTAAAAGGCTCAATAATATGCATTAGATTGGTGTTTAGTTCCCTTTTCCTATCTGATATTTATTATTAAAAATATTTTTAAATATTTGACCTACATTTCAGTGTAACGGAATGAAACAACTGTTTTCCACCTAAGTCCTTTCCCCCTCTCCTCAGCAAGAACTAATCTGCATGAGATATTGTTCAAGGTCTCATGCATCTGCTTCTGAACTGTTTTCCTTTCCAGCCCAAGAGAAGAATGACGACAAAGGACTCTTTCTTTTTAATAAATCAAAGAACTCTATTTTTAATAAGCTAATCAAAGTGTTAGTCAATAATAAAATGTGAACCAATTTGTGAAATGAAAATATTAATTACTTGATATTATAATCCTACAGAATATAATAAGTAATATGACTGTAAATGTTTCCACTAGAGACTGATCACGCGTAGCATTAAGACATGACACATTGCTTTTACTGATCCAATCAGAATCTGCCAGATCTGACGGAGGTGTGGTTTTCATGGTGCTTGGTAAATCTGTCATCTTTTCTTTCGACCATAAACCAAAACATCCGAAGTATAAAAATATGCCCACGCCATCTTCAACGCCAGTTCAAAGCGTTCTAGAGAAGTTGTTGGGGTGGCCAATCCGCAACTTTCCTCTTAAGCCGAAAGAACCAACGACAAGCTGGATAAAGTCTGTTGCATTTTACCAACCAAGCAATGGTTCCTTTCAGAATAAAAGCTGAACTCATTGACCCTCCGGGTCCCTCTGACGCTGTCAACCAACTGTCACTTTTTACCTGGAGACAGTCCAAATACTAGTCTGTCGTACTGCTGACGCTGTTTCATCGGCTCCGGTACCGAAAGCGGGGTTCGAGGACCTGGCATTCTGGATCTGTACGGAGGTCTCATTCTAAGGGTATGTGTGGAGCGACAAAAATGGCGTCTTATGTGTTTATGAATCTCAGAATCAAAGCTTAGCGCGAAGACATTACCTGCACTCCCATCAGAACTAATAGTTTCTCTGGATTTGCTGGTTCTGAACAACATTCCACACTACAACATTCTCCGTCTCAATTCACCTTAGTTACACCATACATTTAGTGTTTAATGTTAGTCTAGTTTAATTTGTTTAGTAAAAAATCTTTAAACTTTTAAAACTTGACTCTCTTTCTTTTGTCTCTGAGTTAATATGAAGTTGTTACATAATCCCTGCAATAAAAAGTGCCAATCTTCTGGTTAAAAGTACCCAAAGATCCATAAGATTGATTTCATATTTATTATGGAATCTCATGTCTTATGGTTCATTAAAATAGATGTAAAATTAACCCTTTACATACAGTGGGGCAAAAAAGTATTTAGTCAGCCACCGATTGTGCAAGTTCTCCCACTTAAAATGATGACAGAGGTCAGTAATTTACATCATAGGTACACTTCAACTGTGAGAGACAGAATGTGAAAAAAAAATCCATGAATTCACATGGCAGGATTTTTAAAGAATTTATTTGTAAATCAGGGTGGAAAGTAAGTATTTGGTCAATAACAAAAATTCAACTCAATACTTTGTAACATAACCTTTGTTGGCAATAACAGAGGTCAAACGATTACTATAGGTCTTTACCAGGTTTGCACACACAGTAGCTGGTATTTTGGCCCATTCCTCCATGCAGATCTTCTCGAGAGCAGTGATGTTTTGGGGCTGTCGCCGAGCAACACGGACTTTCAACTCCCTCCACAGATTTTCTATGGGGTTGAGGTGTGGAGACTGGCTAGGCCACTCCAAGACTTTCAAATGCTTCTTACGGAGCCACTCCTTTGTTGCCCGGGCGGTGTGTTTGGGATCATTGTCGTGTTGTAAGACCCAGCCACGTTTCATCTTCAAAGCTCTCACTGATGGAAGGAGGTTTTGGCTCAGAATCTCACGATACATGGCCCCATTCATTCTGTCCTTATCACGGATCAGTCGTTCTGTCCCCTTAGCAGAAAAACAGCCCCAAAGCATGATGTTCCCACCCCCATGCTTCACAGTAGGTAAGGTGTTCTTGGTATGCAACTCAGTATTCTTCTTCCTCCAAACACGACGAGTTGAGTTTATACCAAAAAGTTCTACTTTGGTTTCATCTGACCACATGACATTCTGCCAATCCTCTGCTGTATCATCCATGTGCTCTCTGGCAAACTTCAGACGGGCCTGGACATGCACTGGCTTCAGCAGCGGAACACGTCTGGCACTGCAGGATTTAATTCCCTGCCATTGTAGTGTGTCACTGATGGTGACCTTTGTTACTGTGGTCCCAGCTCTCTGCAGGTCATTCACCAGGTCCCCCCGTGTGGTTCTGGGATGCTTGCTCACCGTTCTCATGATCATTTTGACCCCACGGGATGAGATCTTGCGTGGAGCCACAGATCGAGGGAGATTATCAGTGGTCTTGTATGTCTTCCATTTTCTGATAATTG